TAGGCATATTGCAAGCACCAAAACAACATGCTACAGCACCTCAACATGAGAACAAAAGGCATGGACATGATGTACATGTAAAGCATAACAAAACATGAACAGTGAGCTATCTCCAGAAATCACTAGAACATGCTCAAAAACACATGGCAAGATTGCATATATTAACAGTTTCAGACTTTACAGAGATAACATCAGGTTGTAATGTTTAGAGCTATCAAACAACATGCTACAGGAACTTATCATGGAAAACAAAGGCATGGGATGCTACTACTAAATACATAGAACAAAACTCCTTTATTGACCATGAGCCAAAAAGGATCAGAAGATATGATGGCACCCATGTAAACATAGCAAGTTATATGACAGATTCAAACATGGCAGGTACAACGATAAGTAGGCATGTTGGTGAGCTTGTACCACTCACCACAGAGCAATACCTGGCATGACAAGGTGACTAACAGTAAGAATACATGTTTATGAAGCTAAGCATGGCAAGAACAAGTTCATAGAGTGCATGGATCACTAGCAAAACACATGGCAAAACTGAACTTCATGTTAACAGGCTGACAACAACATTATTTAGAAACTTTGGAGCAAGATAACAACAAGCTACAGCAAGATATAAATGCAACCAGGGGAATGGATGGATAGAGCATGACATGTATAACAAAACATCCTTAGTGAACATCTCCAGATTATGCATAGAATGACTTTTGCAGTAGGTTTACATAGCATCACAAAATAACAGATTCAGCCTAGCAAAATAGTAACAACAAGTACCATACTTAACAAGCTTGATGCACTCAGTACACAACTCGCAAAAATACATGGATGGCACCCCTGTAAAGATGGCATTACATAGTTCAAAACACATGTAGAGCTCATGCTCATAGGATGCACACATCAAATGCAACAAAAATGACAAATCACCAAGTTATAACAGTTTTAGCAGATTAACATCATATAGCACTCTTGCAACGATGATTCCGGCATCAAGATGGACTCAAATGAACATGGTTCAATGTAATGAAATCAAGAGCATCTCACAACAAACATTGTGATATATTACACGCACGAAACGGAGCAGTATGCATAGAGATATGGCATGATGAACAAGGCATGAAAATGCTGAAATCTACGGGGACAACCGATTTTAGCAGAAAATAACAGGTGGGCGTCCGGTAGCTAAATTGCGCACGGGCGGGGAAAAGAGGGGAGGAGCTCACGTTGGGCTTGGCCCAGGAGGGGGGAGGACGAGGCGGGCTGAGGCGATGGGCTGGGCCTGGTGCAGGGACGGGCCGCGAGGCCCACGTGGCCGGCTGGGGTGTCGTCCTCCTCCCGTGCCCGCATAAAGAAGATAGAGGCGGTGGCGACGGGTTTCAGCAGGTCCGGCGAGGCCGGAGGAGGCCATGGGGTCGGCGGCTCTGGCCGGATCCGGGTGGTTCCGACCCCGGGGAGTCCATTCCCGGCGGCAGCGAGGTTCACCGGCGACGAGACCTCGGGCGGTGGCGGCGGCGGTCCTGCAACACACGAGATCTGAGAGAGAGAGGGCGAAAGAAGGAGGAGGAGAAGGCAGGGGGGTGGCGCGGTCTGGCCTGGGCGACGGAGGAGGCGGGGTCCGGTGGGGCTCCGGTGGAGGCGCTCGGGCGCGGGGAGAACTCGGGCGAGTGGGATCGGCGGCGGGCGGCTGCGGTGGAGCGCTCCCGCGCGAGAGCTTGGGCGCGAGGGCGGCTTCGGGCCCATATCCGGCCCGGGGCGGGCCGGTTTCGTGCTTCCGCGGGCCGCGGCGGCGGGGAGGCGCGGGGTGAGGTGGCGATGCCACATGGCGGCGGGGCAGTGGCTGGAGACGGCCAGGGGGCGACGTGGCGCGCGTGGATTGGTCTGGGGCGCACCGGCGGTGGTGCCAAGTGGCGGAGCAGGGTTGGAGTGGTGAGGAATGCAAGGAAGGGGGGTTGGCTGCGGCTGGAGGTAGGTGGAGGGTCTAGGGGGGCTAGGGTTGCCCAAAATTGGCATGGGGTTGTTTAAATAGGGTAGGGGTCTAGGGTTGAGGGATTTTGGGGTGGTTCGGAGCCTCGGATCACCATCGGACGGCTTCAAATCGGAGGGGGTTTAGCTGAGGGGTTGATGGGCTGTGAAGAGGGGCCTTGGGCTTTGGGGGAAGAAGAGATGGCGGCCCGGCAACGGTTTCCAGAGACCGAAAACATCCGGCGAAGGTACCGGCAGCGGTTGTAGGTTTAACGGTTGGGCTATGAAATGGACTCTGAATGCGACGAAACTTGGCAGGTGCCTGTCTACACTATAATAAGACCGCACGACAAGTGTCAATTCATTCTGAGAACATTTTTATGCCACTTATAAAATAATATTTCGGAGGTGCCGCGAGCGCGTGCGAGTGTGGTCTGGACTCCGAACGGACAACAGAGAGAACCAGGAGGACCCGAACGGATGCGAGTTTTGAAAAACATGCAGATGATGACATGGCAAAATGCAACACGCAAGCATATGACATGGTAACGACGGCGAATAACTAGCAGACACCTGGCACATCGGATCCGGGGCATTACAGAATCGATTGGCCCAGAATAAAAATTCAGACAACTGACGCCTAAATAAAGTGATTTGAGATGAGGGTGCGACCTATCTGGCGGTATGGTGAAGTAGGCAGGTCCAGCAGCTGAGTCGGTGAGACCGGCGCTGTTGCGGTGGCGACCGGTGGCAGGGAAAGAGAGATGTCGCAATGGTCGACAGCTACGGGGAAGCAGCGCCAGGACTCTGGACGGATCCGAAGTTGGAGCCGCTCCGGCACCGTGAACAACGACGGGGGTGAATCGGCTCCGATACGATTCACGCGCCCGTTGTCGAGGCAGCACCAACAGCACGGAGTAAGAGGCACACGGCCCAGTGCATGACGGCAAATGGACAGTGTCTCCAGCATTAGGGAGGAGGGTGGCTGTGAAATTGTTGCGGTGGGGGTGCCATGGAGGTGGGACTGAGGTTTCGCGGATCGGG